ATAAAAAAAAAAAAAAAAAAAAAAAAAAAAAAAGTGATTTTAGTTTGCATTTACAGTTTTGTTTTTCTGCCAACTATTACAGAAATTTAAATGAATCTAAAGAAGCCTGATATTTGTATTTAAAACCCTAGCAACTTTTTCTGTTATAGTGAATTAAACATTTTAAAGCTGCAAAAATATGGCAATATACACTGTATTTTATCTCTTAGATGACACGTTTTCATACATTAGAAAGGAGCTAAAACAAGCATTTCAAACAGAAAACTTGCCATAATTATTTTCCAGAAGCAACAGACCTATGATGTTTGTTGTTAATGATTTTTGTTACTCCTCATAAAGTTTTTAAAAAAGGGGGGGGAAACTAAACCAAGTTTTTCCACATTCTACCTTATATGCCTTGGATTTTGTACAAAATACTTATATAAAAATCTACGAGTGCCTACTACTTACATTATTTAAAGAGAAAAAAACACAATCATTTTCTACTATCCAGATGTGACTCATGAAAGTCCCTATTATATACCAATTCAGCCTGAAAAGACTAGATCTGCCCATGAAGATTTGAATACCCCTTCTTCAAATAATAAGATAAACATCCCTGACTGTATGAGGCTCAAAGGCTAGGAAGTAAAAGACGCCTCTAAATATGTGATTTCTAGTACACAGTGACAGCGGCTAGAACACAAATGTGAGCAATGCTGCTGACTGCAGCCACAGAAGGCTGGTCCTGGGCACAGGCCATCCTGTCTGGCATGGCGTCACCTGATGAACTAACAGCTCAACTCCTGCTCTGTGCTTATTATTAGCCAAAAGGGCGTAGTCACGCGTTCCATCCTCCAAAGAGACAGCACGTATGCTGCGGTAAGGGTAAGGCCAAGGAGGCCTCTGTGGTGAGATGAAATGCTCATGACACAGCCCCTAGCACAGGCCATAGGTCCTCATTTGCAAATGCCTTATCTTTCTGTCCTTTGAGCTTTCATCACATGTGAAACAAACCTAGTATTATAAGGCAAACTGGATAAACAATCAGTAGC